CCTATAGACTAGAAAGCACCCCCCAAAGGCTTCCCCTATTGTGGGGGCCAGGCTGACCCCAAATCACAGCAGGTTCACTCCATCCCATTGCAGCCTAAGGTGGGCTCGGGGGCCCAACCGTGACATTGGATCACCAGGAGGGAGCCTCACTGCGGTTCCTCGCCCCATAGCCCAAAAGGATGGGAAGGACCCCAGTGTCCTGCAGGCAGAGATTTGGGGGGGGGGGGGGCCTTGCTGTCACGCGGCAGCTCCAGCAGCTGCAGAAGGGCCTGGGTTTGGGGAGCGCTGCTCCAATTAGCTGTAATCGCGCTTCCCCGCAGCGCCTGACACCGAAAAACCTACATCATTACCAGCAGCGACAGGGAAGGCAGGCCCATGCGCTCGTGCTTAATTGAGTGTTTACAGCCCTGCGAATGGGGGGGGCAAGAACAGCTCTATAGGAAAGCGATACACCCCCCCTCCAGACAGAGAAGAGATCGGGGTGATGGGGGAGAGCGCAGCCCCATCCCCAGGCCCCCCGGCAACCCCTCGAGCTCACGGCTCACTTGCAAACGCAGCTGCTGTCAGAGCCCGGCTGAGATCCCAGGGGGGGTCATTGCATGCTGAGGTGGGGATGGAATGCGGGGACAGGTTGTGGGGCTGGGGCACAGCAAGGAGGGGGAGCCGTGAAGGAGTGACGGGGACCAGACCCCCTCCTGCAGCCGAGCCCCAGTGGACAAAGCTGTTTTCTCCTCGTTAATCTTTCATAGAGCGAGGATCATTCTGCTTCGCCGCATCGCCATGGACCCCATAACAATGAGCCATGGGGCCAGGCCAGGCCAGGCTGCCCCAGTGCTGGGAGACAGCAGGGGCCAGGGGTCTGCAAAGGGGCACAGCCTGGGGTGTTCCCCCAGTGCCAGAGTGGGAACACGCTCCCGCGGGTGCTCGTGCAATGGGGACCACACACTGCACATGCACCGACATGCATGGAGATACCCTGTGCATGGATGACCACAAGCACATGCGTGTGCACATAGCATATTGCCCCGTTCCTGGGTGGCTTCACAGCATCTCTCATCTGGAGGTGCTGGAGCTACCCCTCCCCTTCGCCCTCTTCCCACCCAGAACCAACCTATGGGATGGGGCAAGTGGGTCTGAAAGGGGCGTTTTTCCATATCCCCAAACTGGGAACACTGGAGGGGGTTTGGGAATGTGGGGCACCAACATCCAGGAAGAGCTCTTGGGCAGAACCTGGGTGCTGAGCCCTATATGACGCTATGCCTTGGTTCACCCCAAAACAGGGCTTGAGAGGAAGAGGAGGGGGGCTGTGGGGTGTTAAGCCCTGCCCTCCCGCCTGCCACCTTCTGCTGTGCCCAACTTGAATCGCTAATTCCAGCGAACCCAGGCTGGATTAATTTTCATTTCCCCATGCAAATCAGTGCTAATTAGGATGGATTTAGTTCACATCGCAGGGGCTGTGGGGACAGGCGCCGCGCGCAGCCCTCGGTCCCCAGCCAGCCTTTGGGGTGTTTCATCCGCACTTAACGAGTTGGGAAGGCAGACCCCGCAGTCCGGAGGTCAGGAAGGAGGGAGGGGGCGGCAGGTAGAGCAGGGATTGCTCTGGAATGCCGGCAATGACACAGCACAGCATCTCCCCCCAACCCAGCCCCTCACCAGGGCATCCAAACCTGCCCATCCTGCTCCTATCCCTACGTGTTATCGATGCCCTGATGAAGGCCGATGCGGGATGCTCCTGGACCACAAGGAGCGGAGCTGATGGGGCAAACACGGGTGCTGGGGAGCGCAGGGGGATGTCGCCATCCAGGGAATGAGGAGCCCCCCTCCCGGCTCTTTCAGCTTTGTTTGAGCCTCCTCCTTTGCCAGCTTTTGAACTCATTAGCACTGCCCGCAGGCTCCTGTTTACGCAGCTTGGTCTGGAGCCCAGGAGGACTCAGAGCAAAGCCAACGCAAGCTGCAAACGGGAGCCCCAAGGCGCAGATAAACCCCACAGCCCCAGGGCCCCCAAACTCCTCCGCACCCCTGAACAACGCTGTTCTCCCTCTGCGGCATCAGGGAGGTCGGGGCAGCCGGGAGCAGGAGGGGGGCACTGCCTTTGCTTGGCTGGGTGAGTGAGGGGCTCAGGTAGGAGGCGGGGGGAGCCCTTATGCTGATCCCTGCATGGGGGAAAGACATAAACAGCCCCGGGGCCGTTCCCTCGACGTGGGGCCAGCCGTGGGGCAGGATGCTGGCCCCAGAAGCTCACACACAACAGCATGGGGACGAGAACAAGAGCCCAGGGGCAGAAGGAAGAAGGGGGCTGAGCTTGGGGGCTGCAGAGGACTCGGTGCTGTGTGGGACCAGGCGGGCTGTGAGGCCGGAGACAGTGACAAACAGCCAGAGGCGCTGCCTGCCTCCTGCCCTCATTAAATCCCCCCTAACGAGCTCAGCACTGAGCCCTGGGGCCCAGCTGGACTCAGAGCTGGTCATTACTGCTGACAAGGACCTGTCAAAGGGGGAGATGCGGTGAGCTCCATCCCGCCCCCCCCACGCATAGCACAATGGGGTGGGACGCACACACACACCTCAGGACTGGGGTCACCTGCCCCCCAGACCTTGGCCATGCTGCTGCTTGAGGACGGGGTGGACTCAAGGCACGGAGTGGGGAGGTGCTGGGGATGAAGGGAAGGAAGGGCAGGGTTTCGAGGGGACGGTGACGGTGCTGATCCAGGGTGGAACTGAGCTCTGGACCCCCCGGTTTTCACCCTCCAAGCTCCTCTCCCAGGACCCACCTGGAGCAGGAGAGATGGAGGAGGATGAGGAGCAAGAGGAGGAGGAGCAGGAGCACATTCCCCCCCCCCCCAACTCCGCTTCCCACTTGAGTCCCCCGGCAGAGCTGCTCATTCCCGGGAGCACCCTGGCACAGATAAGGAGCCCCGGTGATCCCCAGGGCACGTTTAATCTGGGACAGGACAGTTATTGGATAAATACCATGAATATGTAAATTGCATTTATGCTGATTTACGGCTGGGGGGGCAGGTGGGGAGCGGAGAGATGGGTTAGTTTGGTTTTAATGCATTTATTTCCCTGCCTGGAGATGGAGAACAATCTCGGAGCGCTGCATCTGCCAAGACAGAGGAGGTGATTTAGGCAGAGCCGTGCAGATGGGAGCACCCCAGGGCTGGGATGTGAGCTTGGGGACGGGGGGGGTGGAAGCAGCACCCCAACACTTCCACCTCCCACCGCACCCCCTGGGGCTCAGCATCCTTACAGGCACCCCAAAAAGGGGGTGCAGGAGGTGGCTGCCCCCATCCCCTCCGTGCTAGCGCTGCTCTCCCGGGATGATGTATGGGTCCAGCACAAGAGCCGCGCTATTCCAATTAATTCCTGGGCCTTGCAAAGTCTCCTGACCTTTCACGAGCCGCAGCGAGGAATTGAGGTGATTAATCTGGTAGGTTGGGGTGGCTCCTCCACTCTGACATTGCCCGGGTGCTACATGGGGTGGGTGCCAGACCCTTTGCAGCCAGAGGGCTGCTGAGCCTCCGCAATCACAGCCCCTCTCTGCACACAGCTGGAGCACGGCCAGATGTGGACCCCAGCAACCAAGTGAGACCAAGTCCCTCCAGACCCGTCACCATGCAAAGGACTCACTCCTGCTTGTACCCCCCCCCTTGCCAGAAGCATCTGGGATGGAGCTGGGAGGGGGGAATCACCCCTTAACTGATGAACCCAATTAGATCCTGCACCTAATGAAGACCATCCCTCCCCACCCCAAAGCAGCCCCCCCCCCTTCACCCAGAGAGAGCCCTGGGGCAGGGCCGGCGCGGGGTGGGGGCCAATTAACCAGATGACTGTAATTAAGTTGTTCTCTTCGGCTGTTCAATGAGCTCGAGCCCGCCCCGACTTCCTTGGGCGGTCCGTGTCGTCCCCCCCCTTTTCCCCTCCCTTCTTCTCACATGCAGCAAATCAGCTTCAACCCCCCCCCCCCCCCCCGCAGGGCTCTGCAAATAAATAAATAGAGACTCCTGATAAAATTAACCGTATGAGGAGCCGCAAATGAGGCGGAAAATCGCGTTGAAGAGCTGCCTGACAGGAGGCCGGGAGGGAGGGAGGGAGCAGTGCTGGGCGTTGGGTGCTGGCCCCCCCCACCTCCCTTTAGCCCTCCCATTGCCACCGGTCCTGCACATCTGGCAGCAGCTGCTCCAGACCCACGGTGCGGAGCGGGGCCCCCCCCATGGACAGCAGGGACACCCCAAGGTTGGGCCCGCACGAGGGGGGGGCCCTCTCTGCCCTTAACCCCCCCCCTTGTAGTGGCAGCGTTGACACGGGCGGGGGGCACGGGGCCGGTTCCCTGCTATGAAAGGGGGGGCGCCAGGGGGCGCCGCGTGTTCCCGCCACCTCATTTGCATACGGCGCGGGAGCCCACGCGGCAGCAGTGCCCCCTCGCGGTGCCGGTACCGGGCGCACGGCGACCAGGGCTTGCAGCAGCGGTCGGGGATAACGGGCTGCCTGTCGCCATGGCGACGGGAGGGGCGATGTACCGGCCCCCCTGTCGCCGTGGTTACCGTCGGCGTCACGGCTCCGGGATGTCACGGCCGCCGCCGCCGCCGCCCCCCCCGCCCCGGGGCAGCTGTTCCTGGCTCCGTGCTCGCCCTGCGCGGTCCAAGGACTCGTCTCGGTCCCGGCACCTGTCGCCCCACAGCCCCTATTCGGGCCCCACCGGGCCCGCTGCCAGCGCTCGGGAACGGGGGATGCGGTCCCGGGGGGACGCAAGGGGAGCGGCCCCCAGGAACGGAAAAGCGGGGCGAGCGCGGGGAGGAGCAGACGTGTATTGACAACACCGGGGTACACAGCCCAGAGCCCCCCCCCCCGGCACCCACGCCGCAGGAAGGGGGACCCCCTCCTTGCACCCAATGTCTCCAATGGACCAGAGCTCCTCCCACCCCCGCAGCCCGCTCCTGCCATGGTCCCCATGGAGCGATGGGGCTGCCTCCCGTCCCCATTCCCATCCCGCTCCAGCAGCTCCGTCCCTCTGGCCAGAGAGGGGGGGGGCCTGGGCGCTGTCCCATTCAGATCTCCTGCAGGAAGTCCACGGGGAAGAGCCCCACTTTGCGGCCGGTGTAGACTTTGACGTAACCGTTTACCTCCTCCCCCTTCTGCACCACGATCTGGAGGCAAAGGGGGTGATGGTGACACCCCATAGAGCCCCCCCCCTAGGGTGGGAGCAGCAAGGACCGAAGGGCTCCTCTCTCACCTGATCCTTCTTGAGCGTGATCTGCCCGATCTCCCTGTTGCCCACGAAGGAGCGCGTCACCTTGTGCACCCGCTCGCCCGCCCGCACCCGGATGATGAAGTTTGGGGGGAAATATCCAACTTTCTCCCCAATCTTCCCCTGGAAGGAATCAGTGGCTGGGTGCGAGGTGTGGGTCGGAGCCACCCTGAGCGACCCCCTCAACAACCAGCCTGCACGGTGCGGGGTGGCGTGAGGACACAGCCATGCGATGTGCTGTAAGCGCTGCATCTTTCCCCCTCTGTGCCTGGAGCACCCCAGCCTTACCCTCCACCACTCCTCATTGGAGTCATCGACCACTGTGATCTTCTCCCCGGGCCTGCAAAGGGAAGGATGGGTTCAGAATGAGGGGGTGCTGGGACCCCCTCCCTGGCCCCGTGTTGCTCCCCTCCTCAGCCCTGTGCTCTCGATGTGGCTGGTTACTTACGGGAAATCCAGGTCATCTTTCTCCAGGGCTTTGAAGCGATAAATTGCCACGAAATAGTGAGACTGGGGGAAGCCACCGCGTGTCCCTGGCTGTAGCTTCTTGCTCTATGGGAGCAGGAAAAGGGGGTCGGTGCCCCAGAGTTGCTGAAAGCCCCAGGGAGCTCCGTGCAGCCTCTCCCCGTGCTGCTCCATAGCGTGAGGGTGACGGGTACCTTGTCGTCTGTTGGGCTCTTCTCAGTCTTCTTGTTCCCTTCAGAGGTGCCTGGAAATGGGAGGATGAGGGCTTACATCTCTCCTCGTGCTGCCTCCCAGCCTGGGACCCTCCCAGGGATCTCCAGGTCAACAAGGGGAAGCCCCTGAAGACCCCCACTTCCTATGGGGCAAAACCCACCCCAAGTGAGCCTCCCCATGAGGGTCCCTCCCTGCGCGGTGCTCATGGCTCAGCCCCCCGATGCCACAGCACTCACCGCCCTCCGTTTTGCCTCCTTGTGGCTTCGTGGCCTCTGGTTCCTCATCCATCATAGCAGCCAAAGGCTGCAAGGCAGAGAGCCGTCAGGGGGCGTGGGGCGGGCAGGGAGGGGGGGTGCCCATGGGGTGCTCACTCACGTTTTTCTTGTCATCCTGCCCTTTCTTGCGCTCCTTGTTGGCCATGATGACGCCCGTCCGCAGGGTCTCGAAGACGGGGTCGCTCCTGTCGGCTGCTGCGGTGGCACAAGGGACGGTGAGAGGGGTTCGGGTGCACGGGGAGATGGGGGCACCCAGCACCCAACTTACAGAGCTGGTCCTTGATGCAGAGCTGGTCACTGTAGAGGGGTGAGCTGTACGCCCGGCGGAAGCCCGGCGGCTGCGAGGGGGAAGAGTTAGAGCATCGATCCCTGCCCACACACCAGCCGAGGGGATAGAGAGCACGGGGGCACAGAGGGGAGCACCCCCAGAGCATGGCACTGCGAGGGAGAGCACTCACGATCTTGCCGAAGCAGCGCTGCATCTCCACGTAGGTCTGGCAGTGGTGGTGGATGTTGGTTTTGCAGTTCTTGCACCTCAGGCCAAACTTGTTGTTGACTGACAGTGTAAGGGGTGGAAAGGAGAGGCAATGTGACACTGCAGCTGCAGGGACGGCTGGGCTGGAGCCCTCGCCAGCCTTGGCCCCCAGCACCCCTCAGCACTCACGGACAATCATGCGGGCACAAACATCACAGAACTTGGGCTTTTTGAAGTAATGATCTTTGAACTTGTGGGGTTTGTCATTGACGAGTTGCGGGGGCTCGGGGGGCGGCTCGGGCTCCTCTTCTTCCTCCTCTTCCTCATCCTCATAGATGTAGAAGATGGGTCCCCCTGAGGGGCTGACCAGCTCCCCATTGGGCTGCGGCTCTGGTGGGGCCTCCTCCTTGGGTTTTTGCTGGAAAAGCTGCTTCAGTTTCTGTAGCTGCTGGGCAGGAGAGGATGGATGCACAGGGCAGGCGTGTGGGGTGAGGCCGGCAGGCAGAGGACCCAGTGCCTGGCTCCCAGCCCCTTCGCTCTGACCTAGAGACTCCTTCATCCCCAGTGAGAAGAGACCCCAGGCATCCTGAGGCAGAAACTGTGAGGACGGGGACCCTTCTCCCGCTAAAGGAGAAACCGTGGCTCCTGAGCGTGATGTGGGTATGGGAAGAGCCAAGCTGGGAAACGACCCCCAGTCTCCTGCTGGATCAGGAGCCCACTGGGCACCCCTGCTCCCACAAAGCCTCCTGGGGCCAAGGCACAGCTGATGCTCGGAAGGTGCCTTCCCCACCCACCCAAGCTGCCCTGTGGGTACCCACTTACCCGGCTTTTGGGTTTCCCACCTGAAGCAGGTGAAGCTGGTGGCTCTGGCACTTCCTTCTCTGTCATGCTATGGGGGAAAAGGAGACGTCACATTAGCTGGGGCTGTTCCCATTGAAGGGCAGGAGCAGCCCAGACCTCGCTGGGTGAGGAGCATCTTCAGAGCCGCTGCCTCCCTCTGCCCCAAGCACCATCACCCCCAGCAAGGGCCCATCCTGCGCAGGCTGGAGACTGGGCTGCTGCTTGCTCTATGGATGCAGTGCCAAGTGCTGCGAGCCAGACCCTGGCCTACCTGCCCGTGTCCAGACATCTCCACCTCATGATTACACTGCAAACAGTGCTACTCTGCCCCCCCCAGGACCAGCACACGCCTGTGGTGCTGCTTGGCATCACCGCACAGCCCTGCTTTCTTCTCCCTGTGCCACCACGAGGGCAGGATTTGCTCCTGCATCCCCCAAACATGCCCAGTCTTGCTTTTGACTCAACCATCCCCATGGTCCCTCTACCCAGCCATCACTATTTTTGGTGATACCCAACACAAGGCCCCCCCATGCCCCCATGGAAACCAACCATCAGGGAAAGAGCAATGGGGACCAAGGAGCCATGGGGCAAGGGGGTGCTGCAGACGCAGAGCCCTGGGGTCTGGCATCAATAAGGAGGGGGGCAAAAGCAGGGGGGGTGGTCACGACAAGGGGTCACTGCAGAGGGAATCAATCCCACTTACACTGTGCTTGGAGCTCTCGCCCTGCGATGAAGAGCCCCTCGATGGGCGGGCGATGGTGGGGCCTCGGCAGGCACGGAGCCCCCAGGCCTCGGTGGCGGTGCAGGGAGGGGGCAGCCGCCCCGGTGCTGTGCGGTGCAGGAGTGACAGGGCAGAGGGGAGCCGACAGCTGAGCGCGGCCGGAGGCTGACGCCGGGAAATTGGAGCCCATGCGGGAGGCGGAGGGGAGCGGGGCCAGGGGAGGCACCGGCTATTTGCGTTTGTGGGTTGCTGGGCGGGCCAGAGGCCACCCCCCCACTGGCAGCAGCGCCGGGGCACGCCGAGGGCTCCAGCCTTCAGCTCCTGTTTGTGCTGGTGCTGGAGGCCCCTGCAGCCGGGAGGGGAAAAGGGGAAGAGCGGCAGCAGGGGGTCTCTGCCCCCCGACCTGTGTCCCTGCCACGTTGTGCCTTAGCACCAAGCGTGGGGCTGGACCCATCGCCCCTGGCCAGGCAGCTCTTACCTCTCCATCCATGCCCGCTTCTGCTGGAAGCCCCCGGGGTGCTGCAGGAGGCTCCCTTGCTGCACGCAGTGCTGCGGTGAGGGTGATGGCACCTGCAGGGCAGGAGGAGGCAGCGATGCCTGCGCCTACAAGCTCCGGGGCTGCTTCCCTGTCATCAGGAGGAAGATGTTGCTTCCTGGCAGGGCATGCCCTGTGCCCCCCTTCCTGCACTGCACAGGGCTGTGAGCATCTTACAGGGAGGACCAGCCCCTGGTCAAAGTGCTGGGTGCAGCATCCTCCTGCCTCCCAAAGAGGCAGCCCCTAGCACTGGTACTGGCAGAGAATGGGAAAGCAGCGTTAAAGTGATGGACAAGTTTTCCTTTTGTTTGTTTTTTTATTTAAAAACACCCCCCCCCCCCCAAATAAAATAAAACAAAAAAAAATATCCATCCCTCCCCCCCCACCCCCCCAAATAATAATCAGATTAAATAAAATGTGCAGTGAACATACCAATTCAACACCTGTATGTGCGGTTCAACACAGTGCTTAACAAAACAACATACACAGGGGAAGGTGGGCGGGCAGGGGCAGCACTCCAAAAAATAATAATAATAATAATAATTAATAATAATAATTAAAAAAAAAATCAATTTCTCGTCTCTTAATTCTGTCCATATAAATATATCCATGAAGGAGGGCAAGGGGAAGGGCGGGCAGGAAGGAAAAAGAGAAGGCAAGAGGGGAGTGCCTGCAAGTCCAGTGTGCTCTGCGTGCCTGTGCGTGAGCCCTACTGTGAGCTGGCACGCTCCAGCACCCGCAAGTCGTAGTTCTTTTTGGCCACACGCAGCTTGAAGCGGCTGAGGGAGTTGTTGAGGCGGAGGGAGGCGTTTTGGGCAGCCAGCGGGCTGGGGAACACGGCCACGATGGTGTATAAGGCAGCGAGGTCACTGTGCCTGCCGTTCTCTGGAGTGCCGGTGCCGTCCCCGCCACCTCCATCCCCGCGGCGCCCCTGAGTCTCTTTGAGCCACTGGATTTTGGCCCCGGCCATGGCGAGCTGAGTGAAGAGCTTGTCAGCCTCCGTCCGAGTGATGCCCTCGGGCAGGTCCGTCACCTCCAGCACTCGGCCCAGCACTGCAGTGGGGAGACAGCATGTGGGGTTTGGGGGGGGGCTCCCCACCCAAGTCACTGCTACTGCAACTAAGCTGCCCCCACCTTCCTGACCCTTTGGATGCTCACATCCCAGTCCCTGCATGCTTCAAGAGGAGGCTGCTGTTTCCCATTTGCTCCAGCCCTCCTTGCTTCCTCTGCCTGGGCATGGCTTCCCAGTCAGGGTGCTCTGCTCCAGCTTCCCACCCTAACGCCTGGGTACCGGGATTGGGAGCCAATCCACCTCTCCTGCCCTCTATCCCTGGAAGGGAGAAAGACACCCATGGAGGAGTGGTGTGAATCCTGAGCGTGACACTGCTCCTGGTGCTCAGCCCCCAGCCAGATCCCCTTGTGCCATGCCCACCTCTTTGCCTCCACCCTGCGGTACCCAAACACTTCTGCTGCCTCTTGGCTCCAGCCTTGCCTTTTGGGCTTAGCAGAGGGCTGGCTGAATGGATTCTTTGCTAATATTAACGTGGCATGTAACGAACATGCCAGCCGCAGGGAGAGGGACAGCTCTTAAAGGGCTCCCTGCAACCAGCTGCTGCTGGTGGTGGTGGGGACGTGGAGGTGACACAGGGGACAAGCCTGAAGACCCCATAGAACCAGTGAAGACTGCATCCCCCGCCCTCCCCGTGCCAGCTGGGGGCAGAGGTGGCAGCTGGAGTCTCTGCCAATGGTAGCTATGCCGTGCAGTGGGGACTGCTCAGTGGGTACAGGGTGAACTGCTTGAGGAGGGTCACTTGCCTACATCGCTTGTCCCAAGGTCAGTGGATGCTGACTTGAGGGCTTGTCTCTTGCTCCGGTTGCCATGTTTCATTCCAGTCTGCCCCTTAAAGAATAAAGCCAGCAGAGTGTCACCCGAGGAGACACTGTGGCCTTACAGTGCCCCCACAGAGCATCCTGGGGAGGCCAAACTCGACCAGGCCATCACTGCGAAGGGGGATGAAGACACCAGGATGAAGCTTGCACCCTCGGCACCTTTGAGGTGACACCATGCTCGGGTGAGAGGAGATCAAGGCACAGCCACGCTCCCAGGACACTGAAAGGACCTGGGGCTGACACTGCTTCTGGGTAAAGCTGGGAGCAGCACCGGGCTCTAGGGAAATCCATGGACAATGGCAGCTCTATTGGATGGATGGCGTGGCATAGGCAATACCTAACCGAGGGGTGCCCAGGCACAGGGCAGGGAAAGGGGTGGTCTTGTTCTGCTCCCAGGTCCATGAAAGGGTGGCTGGGTGCAGCTTTGGCCTGGTTTTACCTGGTGTGCATTGTAGTTGGGCTGGTTGTGGAGCAGCGGCGGGGGACAGATAGACAGGTTATACTGCAGCGGCTGGCCCAGCAATGAGTAGCGCCCATCACCTGCAAAAGGGAAGCAAACATCTGGGGGGGGGTCCAAAGGAACCCCAGGGAAGCCCCAGCTCTGTGCTGTCCCCTTACCTTGTGTCGGGCCCATGGGCCGGGGGAACTGTGTGAGGACAGGGAGGGGGCTCAGCCCCGTGCAGACACTGTTGAGGTTGGTGACGGGCGATGGTGTCGGGGATTGGGTTGGGGACGTGATGGGGCTGTTCAGTTGGGTGCTGGCCTGGGGGAGAGAGAGCGTTAGAGAGCGCCTGCGACGGGTCCCTCTCCTGCCTCATCACCATGGGGTGATCCCACCCCCATCTCCCAGCCCATCCAGACGGCACGGGTGCTGGGGTCCTCTGTCCCGCCAGGCCGCTCCCGCAACAGGAGCTGCCTTCCTCCCAGTCCTCTCAATACCTGAGCACTGGTGTCTGGGTTGTACAGGTCTCCTGGCTTCTGCCCCCGCTGGTCCAGGCTGTAGTACTTACAATGGCTCCACTGCACCACAGGGGGATTCTGGGGGGCCTGGGGGCCATTGGGAACATTCAGCTGCATCACAACCACGCCAGGGCCTGATGGAGACACCCCTGAGGAGAGATGACAGCACCGCTACTGCCCAGGCTCTGTGCACTGCAGCTCCTGCTCACTGCAGAACAAGTCTTGCACCAACCCACCAGGCCCCAGCCAGCCTGGGATGTAATGCTGGAACCCCAATTCCTCTCATCCACTGCTCCCTGGTCCCATGCGCTGTCCTGGTGACACTGAGCCACGCTGCCAGCAGATGGGGTCCACAGCCCATAGCAGCTCCCTTTGCCTGCTCCTACCCTGCCCACACGGCAAGGAGATGCCAGGCCAGCATCAGCTGCTGTGCCATGACCTGGAAATTCCCAGTGGGCTGTGGGATGGGTAAGACTAAGGAAACCCACTGCACAGAAGCTGTCAGACTTCACCGAACCCCAGACTGGTTTGGGTTGGAAGGGACTTAAAGCTCCTCCAGCTCCAACCCCCTGCCACAGGCAGGGACACCTCCCACTAGAGCAGGGTGCTCCAAGCCCCTGTGTCCAACCTGGCCTTGAACACTGCCAGGGATGGAGCAGCCACAGCTTCTCTGGGCACCCTGTGCCAGCGCCTCAGCACCCTCACAGGGAAGAGCTTCTGCCTAAGAGCTCAGCTCAGTCTCCCCTCTGGCAGGTTCAAGCCATTCCCCTTGGCCTGGCCCTACAGGACAGCTCTGCTCACTGCAGCCCCTACAAAACCTGATCCACTTTGTGCAGAATCAGTGCCAATGCTGACAGTGACCACTCTTACCTGAATACTGCTGCTGCATCTGTGGTGGGCTGCAGGGTGATGGGGACTGTGGCATCTGATACTGTTCAGAGCCAGGAGGCTGCAGGAACCCCACCGAAGGGCTGTGAAGCAGAGAGTGCTCTGGTGAGGTGCTGGGAGCTGGGACTGGGCAAGCTCAAGAGGTGACCAGCATCTGTGGTACCCAGGCACCTCCCTGAGCTGCAGGAGCAGGATGCTGTGCCCTTCCCTGGGGCAGCAGGACCCCTTTCTCCCCAGGGCAGGTCAGAGATACAGAAGCTTTACCTGGTGCCATTCTGCTGGGCAGTTGGGATGACGCTGTAGTAGATGGGCACCCCCCCAGTCTGAATGCCCCCCTGCACAGACTGGCTGGCTGGTACAAGCACTGGCTGCTGGAAGGGCTGCTGGACCACACTCTGGGACTCATTGGCCATGGGAACCTGTGCAGGGAGGAAAGAAGCAGCACTATTTAATGACAGGTAACATGGAGCAGAAGCAGGGAGAACTGGCCCCAAAGAGACACCATACAAGGTAGAAGAGATGCTGGATGGGTGGCTACTGCAGCCCACAGCAAGCTTGCCCAGGCAAAGGGAGCACCTCCCAGTTCTTCTGCAAGCACAACAGCAAAGGGACTGACTGGGACTCAGTCCTCAAGGCACGTGGGACATCCTCAAGGCATGTCCCACATAGATGCAGACACAGACAAGCATCTTCTCAAGGGAAGTCTCCACCTTTGGCTCCACCATGCAGGCACAGGAAGAGAGTGCTTCCCCCACAGCCCCCTTCCCAAGAGCCCCTCATTGGAGAGCAACTGCAGCCTACCTGGTACGAAGGCAGTGGAGTGTACTGGACCATCAGACCTTGCATCTGGCTCCCCATATTGCTCCTCTGGCTGCTGAGGAGGCCAGGGGGCTGCGCCTGCTGCACTCCCATCATATTCTGCATCTGGCCACCCATGCTGTTCCTCTGGCTGTTGAGGAGCCCAGGGGGCTGTGCCTGCTGCACTCCCATCACACCGTGGTATGTTTGCTGCTGGTTGGACATCATTGGCTGTAAACCTATCAGAACAGGGTTTAAATGGAAGAGCTTCCCAGCTGGCCACAGGAAACAGCTTGAGACTTGGCAGCTGAGGTGCTCAAATCCTGCTTTGCCCCATCTCTTGCTAAAAAAGTGGGAAAAGGGCTTCCCTTATGGCAGGCGTGAGAAGACCTTAAGGAAGCTCCTGGCTTTAAATCCACCCTGGGACACCTCAGTGCATGCTACACACTAAGAGGGAGGGAAAGGACCAGAAGGGGCCTTTGCAGCTGCCCTTTGCACAGCCTGGCCCTAGGCAGTGCATGGGAGATCCTGAAGAGCCAACAAGAGTTACAGGTAAGGAACCCATGCCCCTTGGCCCCCATTTCCCCCCGGCTTACCAGGCTGCTGGGACTGCTGAGGGAGCTGCTGAGTGCGCTGGGAGCTGTAGGCCACTGGGTGACTGAGAGATCGGTATTGCTGGCTGGAGTTTGGGTACTGCCCGGGAGGGTAGTAAGAAACCTGAATCTATGAGAACCAAGAAAACATGGTGCTGAGAACACAAGAGGGATGGGACCGAGAAGGCTGGGTCCCCAGGACCAGTCTGCTCTCCCACCTTCTGCTGGATGAAACCAACCAAGAGATAGCTCCTCAGGCAATCAGCCCCTTCCCGCTCCTCCCAGCCTCCACATCCAAGCCTTTCCCAGCCCAGCAGTGCAAGAGCACTTTCATCACACCCAGAGGCAGCAACCTTAGAGGTTATAAAGCCATGCAGGACCCCAAAGAGAGCTTAGAGGTGTCAGCCCTGAGTTGGTCACCGAACCTATGAACCTATGGTCAAGTGGGGTCCCCAGGTAAGTGCCCCAGAGGGGCAAAGAGGCAGAGATCACCCTGCTGTGTGCTGACCCATCACAAATAAGCAGCAGAGGAAGCAGAGACCCACTCTCAAGGAGCTGCTTCCCTGCAGCCCCCTCGCCTCATAGAGGTGCATATCCCCTTTGGGCTTGTGGGTGCTCTTACTTGCTGGGGAGGCTGAATGTAGCCCTGGGGCTGCAGCACCTGCTGGGTGGGGGCCGTGTGCCCTGAGGCAGAGTAGTTGGAGGTGGGAATGGACTGCCCAGGGGTTGCCATGATGAATCCTGTCTGCTGAGGATGCTGGGAGATGAGGGATGACTGGAACATCGCCGAGGAAGGATCCGGTGCTTCCGTAGAGCCCTGTCGGCTGAGGCTGATCTGCCCAAAGGGGTTGCTGAGTTCATCGGCCTGCATCGGGGAGAAGTGGGAAGGATGGAGGAGGACAGCACGTAGGACATGGAGGACACAGCTCTGCAGACCCCTTCTCCCTACTCTGTGGGGAGGAGCTCACCCAAGAAAGGTCCCCAGAAATGAGCCACACACCAAGAGCACTCTGCAGCATGGGGCGGGGGGTTAGAGGCATGCATGCTGCTTGCAGGGCTGCATGCTCAGCAGGCACTAGTGACAAGCAGGGCCCCACACATGCAGGGGTGGCCCCAGCCCAGGGTGTGCCATTCCCAAAAGAGGTAACACAGTCTGACTGAGACCACAGGGCAGCCACGGTCCTTGGACCCCAGTGCTGGGCACAAGCATCACTTCTGGTGGAGCTTTGGCACTTGGTCTTGCCCAGGCTCTTTCCATGCTCATCAATGCCTGGCCCTGGTGGGTCTCACAGTCTCAGGCATCCCACTGCCTTGACCCTATGGCAGCACAAAGCCTCCGTGAATCCCAAACCCACTGGGTGCAGTGTCCGCAATGCACCTGGTTAGCAAAAGCTCACACAACACAGCACACGGGCACAACAGAGAGTGCAGAAGAGGAAATGGGGTTTGTACCAAGTTGTACTGCTGGGGTGGAGAGACTGGCAAGAGGACTTGGGGGCAGGAGCTTGGAGAATACTGAACAGGCTGCAGCGCTGGGACCGGCTATGACCAGCAGAGAAGGGAGGAGAGTGGGAAAAGGGGGGGAAGGAAGGACAGAAGGAAGGAGAGAAAGAAGGAACAACAAGGTTAGTCAAGTGAGGCAACTGCAAACACAGAGGGGGGCATTGCAGAGGGTTGGAAAGCAAGGAGAGCAGAGCAGGGGAGCAGTCACCTCTCTGGGAGGACACACATCCCCACCCCTTGCTTTGTGGAGCTGCGAAGGCTGATGCCTCTTGATGCTGACACCTAACTCAAGCACCACATCCTATGCTTTGAGCACTGAAGCTGCAGGTGCACCAGGGGGACAGTGTGTTTTCACATCTTTCACCAACACTCAAACACAGCCAAGTTTGGTCCTGCGCTATCAGGACAGCCAAACAGTACAAGATACAAAGGAAAACCTCAGCAAGATGCAGTGACCCTGTGTGAGCTCCAGAAGCTTGCTGGGTGTTCAAACCTCAGATGAGCCTCAGGAACAAAACAAAGTATGCAGGAACAAGGGCTCCAGACTCAGGATTAGCCCTGCAGGTTGTGGAATGTCACTTGGGTTTAACCCAGGGAGGGTCTGCAGAATACCAGACCCAGGTACAGCTCAGGTCTGCCTCTTCCCAGGACAGGAGGTGACCACTGGGGAAGCTCAAACCCAGCTACTGTTTGTGACAATCCCTCACCAGGATGGCAACAGGTTCCAGAACATGACCCCAGCACTCAGCAAAAGGCTATAGATCCCTTGCCAGGAGAGCTGCTGGCCTGAGCAGATAGTGAAGAGGCTGGCAAGCTGTCACATAGCATCATCCACAGCCACAGCAAGGCCCCATAGCATGGAGGAACCGTCACCCCCCAACAGGCAGCAAGGGTGAAGATACCCAAACCCCACTGGGCAAGTGTGAATCCAGAGCACCCTGGCTCCGTTTCTACCTCCCTGCTGGGTGCCCAAGGAGCTTATGGAGTCCCTGGATGCTGTGCAGCAACTCACCTGGGATATCATGTGGTTGCTCATGGCTGGCTGCTGCTGGGCTGCAGGTGGAAGTCCCTGGGGCTGTGGTGGTGGCTGCTGGGGTGGCTGTGGTTGAGGCTGTTGGGCTGTGCAGGGCAGGAGGCCACGGCTGGGCTGTGAAGAGGGGGATTGGCTGCATGCTTCAGGGGCACCTAGTACCAGACCTTGAACAGAGAAAGGCATGGCAGGGTTGGTACCTGAGAGAGAAAACACATGGGTTTGTTGATGGGGGGGTAGATCCTGTCACTACCTCCTGCACCGCAGCCAGATTAGAGTCTCTGCTGTCCACATGGTAGCTGCCCCAGGGGACAGGGTGAGCAGGCTGCAGGCTAAGCCAGTTTGCCTCAAGGTGCTGACACTCTCAGCACTCCGGGTTATGGCACCTCTCTCACCGTGTCTGTACAGGTCCACAGCTGCTCACAGCTCCTCCCCCTGCTCCACACAGGGAATGTGACCAGGAGGCAATCACTGTTCCACACTACAGCCATGACTTGCATAGCTGCTATTCCCAAGAGCGTGCTCTCCTCCCTGACCCCAGCGTAGCACCCACGTTCCACACTGGGACACAGCAGTCCCCACCCATAGGTCTCAGGTAGGTGCTATATGCCTCAGGCCTTCCACTGGGCAGAGGAACCTGATGTTAACAGCAGCCCCTGCCTGATGCAGGGCCCTCCACCTCAGCAGAGATGACAGCATGGGATGCTATCAGGTACACGCCTGTCAGCTCAGTACCCTAAACCAGTCTGTGGGGAGAAGCTGAGCTGCTCCCAGTCACAGCTCAGTTCTGTGGCTCAGCCACTAACTACATGGTCATGACCTGTTCAAGTGCTTGCCCTGAACAGAGAATCCTATTTTATGGCCTCACAGATCCAGCACACACACATCTTTGAGTACAAGCCTAGGAGATGGAAGGCTGGAAGCAATTCCTTCCCATGGGAGGAAAAACGGTTTGGAAGGAGCGCAATAGATGCTGCAGGGCATCCAGCTGGGAAATGCTCTCCTCACTATTTCAGTCTCACTTCCAGAAATAAAAGGGCTGTGAAACTATTGCTTGATGCCCAGTAGCTGCTATTTAATGAATTCTGCCTCTGATCTACTGCATTGCAACAGCTCATCTTCAGGCATTCTGCTAAGGATGTCTGTATCAGCAGCCGCATGGTGCAAAGAGGGAAACAGCTTCTGACAGTTGCCCAAGGGCTAAATGCTGAGATGGGAAAAGAGCCCCACAGTCCTCAGCACTTTCTCCCCCACAGAATAAATGAGGATATCAAAGGTGGTGCTTGCTTTTTCCCTCTTGCTCCCAAGTGAAAATTCCTGGATGCTGCTCACTGACATTGCACAGAGAAGGTAACCAGCGTGGCTCCTCATTTAGCACTGCACCATTAAAACCATCGGATCCCAGACTGGTTTGTGTTGGAAGGGACCTTAGAGCTCATCCAGTTCCAGCCCCCTGCCACTACACTCTCAGGAGTATAGTGAATCATATGGAGTGAACGTTGTAGGCAGATACCACTGAATGCAGTTGTTTGATGAGATAGACTGTGTGCCTGATGAGCCAGACTAATCTAGCCCTCCTTTGTTGGAAAGCAAGGAAAAGGGCCAGATGGTTCACCCTAACTAAAGGCTCCTTAGGCCTGTGAGGGATTCTGGAGAGCAGAACCTCTAGCACAGCAGGGGAGAGAAAACAACAGCTCCAGGGTATGGGACTAACCAATGTCCTTTGTCTTGGGGAGCTGTGCTAAAGGGAAGGAAGATCTAACAGGGGGTAATGAAAAAAGCAGACGATGCAACTGGTATATCCCTGTCCAGGTACTGGATGCATTCAGATGATGCCAACCACGTCCCACACCCAAAGCATCACGAGCCCCAGTTCCTCAGCCCAAAGACCGTGACCAGTCCAGTACCTGCCCGGGACGTCCTGCTGGCAGTGCTGCCTTTGCTGCTCCCGATGCTGTCCCCCCGTGTCAGGATGGAGATGCCACTGAAGCTGCTGGCTTTGGTAACGGGTGGTCGCAGGCTGCGGACGGAGCCATCGGAGTCTGTGCTGCTCCACGGCCGAGGTTCCAGAGACTTTATCTCGCTTTCGGTGCTGCTCTGGCGGCTGCCCGAGGCCCGGCTCAAACTGTCCCGGTTGGCCCTGAGGAGATGGAAGGAATGAGACCCCACGTCCCACGGCAAGGGGCAGCGGCAGGACCGGCAGCAGGGCACTTTGCGTGGGGATCTGACAGCAAACACATGCCCCGGGGCATAGCTTCCTCGGGGATGCACTAGGAAGAGCCAGGCCCTGCTGCTGGTCCTTGGTGGGCGTCGAGAGCTGGCTCTTGGCCCTTTTCCCTAGCCAGATCCCCACCTGGAAGAGAAGCCAGCGGGGTCAGAGCATGAGCCCTTGCTAAAGCCCTCCTTGTCTCACAACAGGGAGCTTTTAACAGAGGCCTTGAGACAAGGCTGATGGAGTCCACTTTCCACACCAGCCCTGGTGAGCCTTCCTGCTCAGCTGGAACACCTATGTGCTGGGATGTTGCTACACCCAGAGCCGTGCTCCCACTTGATCACCCTCCCTTAGCCCCAGATCCGGCTACTTTACAGGGCTTTAGAAAGAACCAGCACCCCATCCTAAGCAGTGAGCCCAGCTTCCAGCTAAGGCTCACAAGCACAGGCATGGGTTCCCAGGTCTTTGCCAAGGAGGAACGGAGAAGGCAGCACCGGAGGAGATACTCCCACAGGGCTGCAGGCTGAGCCCGGCAGCAGCTCCACACAGCAGTGGAGGGGAAAAGAAAGGCTTGGAAGAAACTTCTGAAGTGATGTCCTAGGATGCTGGGAGCATGGGAGAGCCAAAGCAAACACATCCCTTGGGAAACCTGAACAATGGTTCTAACCCTAAAGAGGTAAAGGAACTGGACTATGCAGACTCCTGCTTTTCCTACTCCTGCTACTCCAGGCATGCTGTCACACTCTTGCCTTCTAAAAGCACTGCCCCAGCAGCTTCAGCCATGCCTTTCTCTCCCTCTGCTTTACTACAGCCTGTTTCCAAGTGTGTCCACCAGCAGAGAGCTCTCTGCAACCACATCTGGGCTTCAGCAAGTGGAGGATGTATTGCTCCGTATGCCTGGCCCAAGATGTACGACTCTGAATGCTGGGTTTTGAAGGTGGAAAGTCTCTGGAGTTCACATTGACATCACCTCCTGCTCCTGAAGAGCTTGTCTGTGTCTGTCCAGAGCTCAAAATGGTCCAAAGGCCACACATCCTCCCTCTCTCTGCTCTGAAACCACAAAAGCAAGCCAGCAGGTTAACCAAGCTCTTTAGGGACAAGTCAGAAAAGCTCCTAGAGCAGCCCTGGCTCCTAAAGCTGCAATCCCATCAGCCACCATCACTGTTCGGTGATTCCATGAACACCACTGCCACGTGTGGTACTCCAGGACACAGTCCCTGGAACTGTGCTGAGGACATTTGATTTTCCACAACAGCATCCCTCAAAAGAGCCCGAGCCATGCAACAGACTGAGAGGAGCAAAGCTGTTCCTACACTCACTTAGATCACAGAATGACTTGGGTTGAAAGGGACCTTAAAGCTCATCCAGGTCCAACCCCTGCCACGGCCCAAAAGCCCCTCTCCAGGCTTCTTGTTGCCCCTTTAGGCACTGGAGCTGCTCTAAGGCCTCCGCAGAGCTCAGCAGAGGGGCAGGATCCCCTCCCTGAGCTGCTGCTCACGCTCTGGGGGTGCAGCCCAGCACATGCAGGGGTTCTGGGCCCAAGTGCGTGCTGAAGCTGGGTCCTGGGGAGCTTCTCTTCACCCAACACCCCCAAGTCCTTCTCTGTAGGGCTGCTCCATCCCGTCTCCCCCAGCCTGTGGCTGTGCTTGGGGTTGCCTCCTGTCATACACAGAGATGCTTCCCCTCTGGAGCTTTGTCTATGAAATGAGAGGGCAGCAGGCACGAAGGCTTTGATTTTCATGCTATTCTTTATCCTCCTCCTTTCAGCAGCCTCCTGCAGCAAGGTGACTTGTCACTAACTCCATCCTTCCAACCTTTTCATCCACAGGAAAACTACTCCATAAGAAAATGCTGCTCAAACATGCTCCCAGTGCCCTCTGCAGCTACTCTGCTTGAAATGAAAGCCTGAGACACTTCATTGCCACCACTAAGTAATCCAGCCTTTATCATCAGGGATTAGGAACAACCCCACCTATCTGGATGCTGATCCCTGTAAGGGCAGCGGGTTTCTTGGGAGAGAAGAGGCAGAATGGTTTAAAACTGCTGAAACCCTCTGGCTTCCCCACTCTTCCCTGCCATTCCCACCTTCTCCCCCCCTCCATTTTCATCGCTGGCTCAGCAAGAAACAGAACTCAAGAAATGGATGTTGCAAAAAATACAAGGTCAGAAACATCACAAGGAGCCATGCATGGGGCAAACTTCCTCAGCAGGACAAGGCACAGCCTAAGTCACAGAGGGATACCTAAAAATCTGCCTCCGTTTGTGAGAACTACGAGAAAAGGCTTCTTTGGAGGTTCTGTCAGTTAACATCAGAAAAAACAACATCATTCTAGAGTCATGCAGTCCTCTGCAGAGAAAGGCAGAGCTACAGATAGTGTCTGCTGAACAGTACTGACCTGCTGTCGGTGAGATATCCGTTCTGGCCAGCCTGGAAGCACGGGAAATACATGGAGATGGGAAGGAAAGAAAGGAAAGACTTAGTAACTTTGGAAGCAACCAAGCAATTTCAAAGCAAAGAGGAGCAAAGCACTAACAGTACAGGACTTGAACACAGTTTGTGTTGTGCACCAGTTACTCAGGAGTTTTGCTGCACACCAGGCCCACTTGGCTCTCCATCCAGGCCCGTTAGGAACCTTTCCTGGTACCTGTGACCCTGAGATGTGTCAAGAGTTTGCAAATCTGAGTCCTCAACTCCCTCCTTCATTGCTTTAAGGCAGCTTTGACGGTAGCTTTGTCAATGGAACAACCAAGGCCAGACATACAAGGGTCCTTACGTGCTAAATGCAGTTATCAGAGCCACGTCAAAAAGGCAGAGGGCTCAAAGCCAGCTCAGGCCACCCTGCGAGAGTCGCCCCTGTCTCTGGAAGTCAGATGCAAAGCGCTGGCTCAGCCCATGAACACAGAGCAAGGGTAAGTCCATGCCCACCCCATGGTGTGCTAACCCGGGGCAGCACGTGCTCCAGTCCAGGACTACAGGCAGGGCTGCTTGCTAACCTGTCTGGATGGCTTTGGGCCTGTGCATGGAAGACAAGACCCTGATCACAACCGGCTGCAGAGTCACTGGCTGAAGCCTGGTGACTCGACGCAGCTCAGCGCAGCGGCTGCCTTAACATCCTCCTTGGGCAGGCACATGGCAATTCCCATTAGGATGAATGAAAGGCGTCTTCCCCAAGGTGCTCAAAAGCAGCAGGCAAGGAGCTGGACTTTGAACGTGATCCACGGCAGATGGGCACTTGGAATCGGCCCTGATTCCATCACTTGGCACAGCATGGAGAGCTGCCTCCAGCTGGCAGACAATACTCAACAGAGCAGAGCACAGCAGCCTCTCTGAGCCAGATGTGAGCAAGGCACACAGCTCCAACTTAGAGGAGTTCCATGGAGGGAGCAGAGATTTCAAGGAAGCAACAACCAAGCTGGACACTCCATAAGAAAGACAACAAACGTACTGCCCAATTCATCCTGTAAAGGCACAGAGCCCTGCCTGATACTCCAAGGCCAGCACTGCTTGGTCAGGAGGTGGAAGTTGCAGCTCCTTTCAGATTCATCCATTGATTTGCTAGTCATGCCAGAAATGCCACTGCAAAAGCTTATCATCTTGCTGGGCAGCAAGGAGCAAACCTGCCCCCTCTGTCAGTCCCCACACGTGTAGTAGGCAATTTAGGGAAGGAGCAGACTGAGGAGTGGAGGTGTAGCTCCTCTATCTCAAAGGTCTTAGACATCTTTGGTAGGAGTTGGAATCCAACCCTAGGAAGACCACTTGGAAATGGGTGGAAAAGGCACTGACAAGATCTGACCTCTCAGTACAGTCAAGGCCACCTTCTGCCACAACGTTCCAGGAGGGTACCTGGCAAGTGAGTCATCCAAGCTTACCTCTCGTGCAAATATCCGCTCCCTGACCCGCTGATACTCTTCCTCTCGCTCTTCTATAGATTTGCTCCTTCTCCCATCCTGCAAGGGGAGTCTGATCTGAAGGGACAAACACATCTCAGCGGGTCAGCAGTTGCCAATGGGAGCAGGGGGCTCAGTCAGCTGCTGGCATTTTCATGCAGCAGTGTAAGTGGACGTGGATTACGGAGTGCGTGCAGGATGCCTGGATGCAGTGACACAGCCTCTGCCTTTGAACCTACCTTCCGAACACCTATGTCTAGGGATGAACATCCTGGAGGACTTAGTGCACTCCACCTCCTGGATCAAGCCCAACTACTCTGCCTGATTCAGAAAGGACAGATCAGGAATATCACCACGTGCTTCTGGAAGACTGTTCCCAGGGGGTCAAAAGCTAAAGGCCGCTCTTTGGAGCTTATGCCAACACAGCAGACTCCTGCTCAGGCATGAATTCTGTGCTTCATGGGTAGCTGCATCACCTGCAGAGTGCCACCACGGGGAAACCAGAAACTGATGCTGATTGCAATGACCAGCTCCCCAGCCTGACGACTTAAGTTCAGCAACATGACCCAAAGGCAAGGGATAGTGGTATTCTGGGGTGATGTAAAGATAGGAGCTACAAGAGCAAAGAGCCTGAGATCCCTGGTGAAGAGGTCTCCTGTCTCTTGCCTCTCCTGCCCCAGTTTTGACGTTCAAGAGTCTGTCTGACACAGGCTGGGAACGCAGCCACAGATGAACAAGCTAGCTCTGCATTACGGCTCTGGTGCCACCTGAGACAGCCCGAGGGCAGCCAGAGATTCAGGAGGGTTTTGAGCTTGGATGACTGGCAAAAAGTGTTGCGTTTTGCCGATGGTTTCCTTCCAGCAGCACTCTGAGTCCTGTTGACTTCGCAGCTGGACTCGCTGCAAGCCCCAGGAAGGGGTGGGAGAGATGCTTGGCAACACAGCTCTGGGGCATTTCCAAGGGAACCTTAGCAAAAGGCTTCACCTTAAAGCCTGGCCCAGCCACCAGATGATATTCAGGGTACAGGGAAGTACCCCCCATAGAATCCACACAAATTCTTCATGCATTTCCACTGTATTTTGTCAGGTTTTCAGGATATAGCTAGATGCGGCTGCTTGGGTGGGGTGGAAGCTTCTATTAAAGAAGGTTACTGCAGGAAACCCAAGAGAAATTGAGAGTTCTCAGCTTAGAGAAGTCACGTTTGACTTCCACAAGGTATGGAGACACTGCATTACCACCCCTTACCTGATTATCATCTCGGTCCATGCTGGTATCATCTCGTTTCAGGATGAACCTCTGCGGGAACTCTGCATTCTTCTCATCTTTGATGTGCTCAGAGAACCTCTGCTCAGGGCTGCAAAGGAAGAACCAGCCCTTGTTAGAAGGGGAAATGCAAGGCACGGAACTGTCTCCCTAAACCCACTGCTTTGCAAGGATTAAGGAGGTGTGCAAAGGTGTTTGTTGTGTTAAACCTCTCCTTTGTGAGGGCAACAAGAGCTCCGGCCTCTTCTCTGAGAGCTAGAGAGCTAGGAAGGGCTTGCAAATAGGACTGGAAGTGAAGGATTCTCCTCTTCTAGAGAGGGGACCTGCCCTTCTTCTGGAGGCAAAACACATGGTGTGGGATCCATCCTGCTCCGGACCAGGGCTTTGCAGCTGGGGCTCAGGTAGCCCCACGCAGGGAAGGGGATTCCAGCCCGGTTGTTCTCCCCCCTCTCCTTCCCCCTTACATTCGTGTGTTACTGGTCTTGTTGATGATGACTGCCTTCCCAGTTTGGTCCACGTTATGGTCCATGCCAAAGTAGGCAGCTACCCGGTGCAGCAGCATCCGATGGTACGAGGTCATCTGAGGGAACTTCTTAAACTGATTGCTGAGAAGAGGGGAGAAAGCATTAGAATTCAGAAGGCTTTGAAACAGGCAATGATCATCCAACACTGAAAGAGAGATCAAGGCTGGAGATGCCTTAACCTGATCCCACATCAGACCAGGGCACATATCCCAAGCAGTTAGTCACGAGTCAAGTCCTTGTGTATGGACAAATGGAGGTGGAGGATCAAGGCCAGGTTGGACAGGGACTGGAGCAGCCTAGTGGAAGGTATCTCTGCCCATGACAGGGGGCTGGAACTGGATGAGCTTTAAGGTCCCTTCCAACCCAAACCTTTCTATGACTCTGTGAGGATGTACAAAAGAAACTCTTCCCAGTGTGCCCAAAAGACACTCCAGACTCTTTTGCATGACACAAACACGATGATCACTTACTTGTTATCACTAATAAATTCCAGAATCTCCTGTTCTAACTTTAGTAGCATCATTCTATCCCTGTCAAGAAAACAAAAGGAAAAGGCCACCTTTAAAGAGTGAAATTCTGCTTTCTCTGTGTGATAGCCCTTCCCTGGGATAAACTCACAAATACCTGGAGCAAGGAACCCTGTCAACCAGGCTTCACACACCCTCCATAGGAGTGAACTAAGAAACTCCACATTTATTCATATATAGTAAATGAATTGCCAGATATCTGGCAGTTTAAAGTTGGTTTACTCTGTGGTGGCTTTGGGTAATATTGACTCTCTGCTCTGCTGGAAGCTCCACTGGTGGAGACTCCAGCTTCGCTATTCCTATGCCAGCATTTGGCTTGATTCTATTTATTACTGCCACAGCAGTGGTTTCTTTTGAGGCTGGGATTTGACAATCAGTTATAGAAAAGGTTTTCAAGTAACCAAGCTTCCTTCCTGCTTGCATTCAAACAAACACTATCTCTCCATCATACACAATTACATGTTTTGCTTGACTGCGGTATATCAAATCACAGTTGTCCTTTGTGTTTTTACACTGCCCCAGCTCCAGTAACACCCTCTGCAAGGTAAAACACACTTGCAGGTACTTTCCACAGCTGCTGTAATGCCCCCTCCTTCCAAGACACAGACGTATCCACACATGCACACAAACTCCATGGCTTTGAGAGTCAATCAAAGTGTTCAAGGCCAGGTTGGACAGAGTCTTGGGTGACATGGCCTAGTGTGAGGCATCCCTGGCCATGGCAGGGGGGTTGGAACTGGATGATCTTAAGGTCCTTTCCAACCCAAACCATTCTATGACTCACTGGTCACCAGGTACTCCCTCCCTTCACTCCATTAGCAAGTGGTTTTAGTGAGAAGGCACCTACCGTGGGTTTTTTTTCAGTGTATTTACTAAAAACTCATGCAAATCTATCCCAGTGGAGTCTGTATATTCCTGGCTGGAATCTGAAAACAACACAACAGCAACAGCAGAACAAGTTAACAAAACACTGCCACAGAACAGAGCGAAGGGAAGAGGTGCAGGTCTTCCCGTCCTCACAGGGAACTGAGCCTCATCCTCAGCACTGAGTACCCAGGACAGGAAGAGAGGAAGAAAAGCCCACCTTCTGCAGGCTGGGACCTGTATCACCTGGGCTCGAGCCCAGTTTCTAGCACAGGCTCTGAACACAACCTCTAGGTCAAGTGTCTCCATCTGTACAATCATGTCCCCTTTCTGCCATGGGCTGCAGGAGCATTGGTACAAGGCACATGGGAGGAGGATGCCAGAGAGAGGGAGATGAGATCAGCTCATGGAAGGAAACCTTGTCCCTAAACCCAACCACTTGGAGCACACTCAGGATATTCCATGCTATTATAGCATGTTCTGCACAAGCAATTGCTGCACCTTTGATACTGGGTGTGGAAGAACCCTGTTCTTTCCCTCTCCCCACAACCCTTTGTCATCTAAAAGCAAGCCCAGCAAAACCAGCAAGCAAAACTGAACCTGCCCCAGTGCAGAGCTGCTGTCTGTACAAGGACTTCAGCTGCAATTTGCTCACCAGATTAAATGCATATCTTTTAGCCATTTCTAGGCCCCAAGATCACACACACGCAGGATTGTGCAGCACAAACTGAGCTGACCTTGCAGCCTCACAGCTTGAGACTGCAAGCAAAAAGTCCTTATGGTGGGTGTTCTTGGGTCTGCATCTGCGCTGTTAAAAAGCCACCAGATCGCTGGGAATGCTGCAGGAAGCCTGCAAGTCTGCTAGGGCACATGCCAATCTAAGGAAATGCTTCCCCTCGCTCTGCAGGCTCTGCTCCAGAAAGGATGTCCCAGCAATGCTACAGTCACCATCGAGCACCTCACCTCGAGACAGCATTTTCCTCGGTGCCTTTTCTTTATTCTTGTCTTTTTCTTCCTTCTCAGCCCCATCTTTCGTGGACTTTTCCTCTTCCTTGTCAGAAGGGCAGCTAACATGCAACTGAATGACATCCTGCAACAGAAAACCCCACGCTGGTCTGAGTCACTTGAACGTCCCCTGGAGCTGGGACAGCCAGCACTGAAAGGCAGGGGATTCAGGTCGTGGATGTGAGCCATTTCACAAGCAGCCCCATTCTAAGAGCAGCCAAAGCAGTCTCTCTCCCCACCCTCCTTCCAATGAGAAGCCTTTGGCAGGCACTGAGGGGACTCTCAAGAGCATTTGTCACTGTTGTTACTTGCCTGGATCACCTCAGAATCTAAATCACACACTTCCCTGTTTGAAGCTGATAAGATGCTGTTACATCCTTGACTCACTAAGGTGAGTCCTGCACTATTTCAGGAAGACTCTTCTAAAGCACCTCCCTGACTGCTGCCCACCTCCAAGCTCCAGCTTCTCTGGCACTGCCCACAGTGACCACAGATGGGGATCACCTCTTTTGCTCTGTGAGCTGGCTGCTTTCAGCCTGAGCATCAGGGAAAGGGCTTGGATCAAATCTTCCTTCCCACGGCCAAAAGCCCAGGGCTTTTGTGAAGGCCAAGTACCATTCCACTCTGGGGGCATAAGCTTGCACAGTGTGAGTAGCTGTGGGTGCCCAGGGGGTTGATGCTGATGATTCTTTGCACGTATGAGGAGTACCCCCAGACATAACCCATTCCTTCAAAAGCAGTCTCTTGGGAAAATTCCTGGCTCTCAGAGGACAGGACATCACTTTCAGTAAGGCAAGGATTTTCCAGGCTTCCCTGCTCCACAGCTTGTCTTATTCTAGGCCTACCTGCGACTCCAGCAGCCCATCTACAAAGGGGCTGGACGATTCTTCACATACAGCCAAACTCCTGACCAGTTTAAGCTTTGAATTAGACTGGAAAAGGAAAAGAAAGAGGACAGTTAAGACACCACAGCCAAAATGCACCCACTTAAGGTCATGATGCTGCACTACCAAGCCACTCACACAGCCAGGTTGGACACAGCCTTAGGCAGCGTGGTCCAGTGTGAGGTGTCCTTGCCCATGGCAGGGGGTTGGAACTGGATGATCTTAAGGTCCTTTCCAACCCAAACCATTCTATGATTCTGTATCAACCAGTCCCATGAGATCCCAGGGAGGAACAACAATAAGGAGAAAGGCTTGAGGTGCACAGATGTGTTCTGCCTTATGCACGGCAGTTGTACCTAACTCTGTCTTTTAACTGGAGAGTGTAACATGCCCTGTCCCTCCAGTGACACCTCTGAATTTCACTTCTGGTGTGTTGGGCTCTGGGGAAGGGAAACGAGTGGCAGTAAATAGGAGCAAACAGTTCCTTCATGTGCTAAAAAGGAGCACTCCTGCTCCAGTGCATGGCAAGTGACCATCCTGAGCCCTCACAGGCTGCCTTCTTGCACCTGCAGACAGGAAAGGCTTGAGAGTACCAGCCTGGGATCATGACTCAGTGCAGGGTAGCCACAACAAAGAATGGGACATGAGAAGAGGTCATACCTTGGCTCTTTTCCTGGCATGGCCATGGCTTGAAGTTCGTCTCTATGGAAAAAGGAAAGAGAAGGCAGGAAGCTGAATGTGGGGGATGCCCCCAAGGGACCACCCCCTCACCTGCACTTACCTGAGACTCCTGGCGCACGCTGACCTCCTCCCCGCCATCCTTCTCCACCTCCTCCTTGCTCGGTGACCTGGATATGTATTTGGTTTTGTTCACAGATTCCTCAACCACCTTTTTCTCCGACTCCTTCATTATTTCCAGAGACTCCTGGGCTGTGTTGCTGTTGGACATCTTCGGAGCCCTACGACGCAGCAACGGGCACCTGCCAAAAGAGATGGCCAAAAGGGGAGAAGGGAATCAGGTGCTGGAGAGAGTTTTTAGCTGTAACACAGACTCTTGTCCATACAGGTTGTAACTTCCTTTTAACTCATGTTGCATACAAAGACCCCAAACCAAGCACCCCAACGACAGCACAACCCCTTGGCTAAGTGGCTCAAGGGGACCTTGCAGGAGCTCCACAACTCTCACCAAGACCTGAGCAGAACAGAGTCTCTAAGATACACAGAGATCCCCAGTGCAGGCATTGAGCCCAATAACTTCTTTGATATGAAAATGATTTTCCTTTCCAGGAAAGGAAGAAGTGATGTAGCTCAATGGTTTAGAGTGAGGGTGCTGCATGGGGGCAGCTGTACTCTGCTCCGATGCCTCTGACAGCAACTAGGTCAGAAAAGGGAGCACTTGCTTGATTTACTCACCAGCCCCCCATAACAAGTTTTTAGCCCCAAGCCAAGCACCTCGGAGCATGGTAAAGGGATCTTCTCTCATCACACTACAATGGAACTTTAGCATCACAAGGGGAAGATCATCAGCTTTCCCTCTCCTCTTCCAGAAAAGACAACTCAGAGCCACTGAACTGACATTTGTCGGCTGCCCCCTCACAATACAGCTTCTAGCCCCAGCAGCAGCCCTGCAGGATGTTTCCCTGCACATCTAATTCAATGAAGGTATGCACATTGCTAGTGCTTCTCAACAGCGATGCTTTCGAGAGGAGGTTTCCTTTTGGTATGAATGAATCAGCCCTGCTCCCCCAGGCCAGACGTGGGATGCAGCAAGGGGGTGGCAGACAAGAGCTGCTGCGACAGACAGCGGCTTGCAGAGACAGTGCAAGTTCAGAGGACCCAGAGGGGTGGGTGGGACTGAGCTGAGCCCTGTCAGGGACATGACAGAGAGGATGTGTTCAGCTCTGGGGCAACGCCACAAGGCTGTGGAGCTGGTGGAGTGAGTCCAGAGGAAGTCATTGAGATGCTCCTAGAGCCGGGCTGGTTCAGCCTGGAGATGAGAAGGATTCTTAAGGAGAGACCTTAGAGCAGCTCCCAGTGCCTAAAGGGGCTGCAGGAAACCTGGAGAGGGGCTTTGGACAAGGGATGTAGGGACAGGCCAAGGGGAATGGCTTTAACCTGCCAGAGGGGAGACTGAGATGAGCTCTTAGGCACAAGCTCTTTCCTGGGAGGGCGGTGGGACACTCTCCAGGTTTCTTGTTGTCCCTTTAGGCACTGGAGCTGCTCTGAGGTCTCCCCAGAGCACAGGACAGGGGGAGAATCCCCTCCCTGAGCTGCTGCTTACGCTGTGGGGATGCAGCCCAGCACATGGCAGGGCTCTGGGCTCAGGTGCACACTGAAGCTGGGTCATGGGGAGCTTCTCTTCAACATCCCCGAGTCCTTCTCCTCAGGGCTGCTCTCCATCCATCCTCCGACCAGCCTGTATTTGTACTTGGGATTGCTCCGCCCCAGGGGCTGGACCTTTCACTTGGCCTTGTAGAACTCCATGAGGTTTGCAGGGGCCCGTCTCTTCAGGCTGTCCCGGTCTCTGTGCATGGCATCCCTTCCCTCCAGTGTATCAGCTGCACTACACAGCTCCAGCTTACCACCAAACTTGCTGAGGGTGCAATTTTCAGACTCAGCTCAGGTCATCAATGTTAATGGGATAGAGTTTTCACTACAGAGAAGGCTGCAGAGCCTCACTGCCAAGAAGAAATCCTGACACAGCCATAACAACAGCAGCTTTCTTCAGGCTGCTTATAACACGGAAGGAAAGCATACTTAGAAACAAAGCACATCCAACCGCAGGCTAAAGCAGAGTTAAAGTGCTCTGAGGGCTCAGAAACAAACATCCAGAGGCTGGTGATTCACTGGGGGGGGGGGGGCAGGACAGTCCCCACCACGTTGCTCGGGTGGACAAGCATGTCAGTTCTGAGCACTGGGAGCAGATGTAGGCAGGATGAGCTGGCCCAGCCCAAGGGAGGTTTGCTGGTGCTACTGATAATTCAACCCCAACAAGCTGTGGCCTTCAGTGCTTCACTTCACCCCTCTGTGTAAGGCTTCAGTATCAGCATCATCTATCACAAAGTGACGCTCGCACCAACAATTTGCTCATTGGCTCCGGAGGCAGCCAATGAGAATCGCAGCTCCATGGCAACAAGGCTCTGTCGCTAGGAGCAACCGGATGATGATGGGGGTGATTTTAGAGTACCCCCACCTCCCCATTCCCCTTCCTGAGCACAGCGTCTGCTGTAGGAAAAGGTTTTCACAGGAAGAAGTGGAGGCGGCTGCAAATTCAAGGCATTAAAGGCTCCTCGGCTCTCCTGTGCCAGGCAGCACAGGGCTCCCTGCCTGCACAGAGGCTTTTGTCCTCCCCTCTCCTGCCAGGGCACGGCAGCTGGTAGGGGGGTTGCTGTATTAAAGGCCAGATGTAACAGGAGGCTGTGCTAATACAACCACCGAGGGCCACCACTGACCCTGAAACACCTCCCTCGGTTCGGGGTCCAGTCTGCTCTGCAGCGTGGAAGCTGCCTGCACAGACAGGCATCCCACAGCAGGTCCGAAGCCTCGGCTTGAAAGCAGACAGGTAAAGAGCCTTTTGAGTACACTGCTTCATCAAATCACAGACTGGTTTGTGCTGGAAGGGACCTTAAAGCTGCCCATAGGCAGGGACCCCTTCCACTGGAGCAGGCTGCTCCGAGCCCCTGTGTCCAACCTGGCCTTGAACGCTGCCAGGGATGGGGCAGCCACAGCTCCTCTGGGCACCCTGTGCCAGCGCCTCAGCACCCTCACAAGGAAGAGCTTCTGCCTCAGAGCTCAGCTCCATCTCCCCTCTGGCAGGTTCAAGCCATTCCCTTGTCCTATCCCTATAGCCCCTTGTCCAAAGCCCCTCTCCAGGTTTCTTGTAGCCCCTTCAGGCACTGGAGCTGCTCTAAGGTCTCCCTGGAGCTTTCTCTTCTCGAGGCTGAGCAAGCCCAGCTCTCTCAGCCTAGCTCCAGAGCAGGGGTTCTCCTGCTGGGGAACACAGCACCCTATCAGGGGCAACAGTCTGACCTAGAACTAGCACTTGGAGCAGTGAGAAAGCCCCACCACCATATCCAGGCACGCTCATAAGCTGCAACTGTCTCAGCCAATGAATCAACCTGTCTTGAGCTCTTTCCACTGTTTTATTACCAGTTGAAGAGAGGGATTTAATTCCTCACTCCCATTCAGTTCCTGCAAAACCTAGAAAAAAAAAACAACACAACCCAAAACAAACAGGAAAAACCAATCAAATCCAACCCAAAGCCCAGGAGGCCACTTGTATCTGACTGCACAGTGCATAGGCTCCCAGTGCTTAGTCACTGCCTTATATCTTAATCTCCACCCCCACATTACATCAGAGGTGAAATGATGATGCAGATGGAAAGGTTCGACTCCAGGTGGAAATAACCTTACAGGAACAAGGAGACAGGAAATGCAAGTGAGATGCAAAGCCCCCTCAAGTTCAATTCTGGAGCATATCAGGAGGCCTCCAGCACATCCCACCCAAACAACTCCACGGAGGGAAAAGATAACACCAGTTAAATAGGAACAGAGGAAGCGGAGCCTGGAGAGAGGTGTAATCCTGGAGTGCTTCTTCATTCTAAGTACCTCTAAAAGGCTGTTCACCAGTACGGGTGCATCTGAATTATCACACCATTCAAAGCAGAACGAGTGACTTCTTGCCCCTCCAGATGTTCTCTCTCAAGACAGGTCTTTGCTTCCTGCCCCAAAGGCCACTTTGCTCTTTTTCTGCAACTTAAACTGCTGCCTTTCACAGCAGCAGCCGAGTATCAGGAGCAAAGGAGGTATCTTCCACTTGTAACCAAGCCCTGAGCCTTCAGAGTGAGAGCAGATATTGAACCAAGGAAGGATTCCCTGTACCAGTTAGGAGGGTATCCCAGCTCGGAAGCATCCTTACCACAAGGACCAACGCAAGGGGAGAAATGGCCTGTCAGTGAAGCGACACAGATCCTGTTCCTCTGCCAGGAATACAGAGGTGGCAACGTCCATAGCACCATGCAGTCAGCTGCCATCACTGAGTCAGCTCTACCAGGGGCTCACAACCAAAGGAGAACAGCAACATGACAAAGGAAAAGTGTGTGTGGGGGTGTTTCCCCCCCTCTACCAGGAAACTGCTGACTGGGGATAGCAGTGGCAGGAGGAGTCACCATATGCAGGAAGCTTCAATGCGGAGTTGCCCGATGTGCTCAGAGAATCCAGCTTGGCTGCCTGCATAGTTGGGTCCTTGCTTTTGACTCCTGGAGCAGCCTATACGCTATGCAAGAGCAGAGCTCCCACCTCAGTGCTGCTGCGAATGAGTTGATGACACAGAAAGAAGGCAATCATTGGACTCAGGCATGCTGGAGATCTCCTGGGGAAGATAATGCAGTTCAGCACCAAAGCCAGAGGCTGTAAAGATTCCCAGATCCCACTGCAAGCCTCCTCCCCATCCCGATTTGGCTTCCTGCTCCACTTTTGAGGCATGCTTCCTTTTATATACACATCGAGAGGAGAAAATGGTGCATGGAGGGAGGGAGCACATGAAAATGCAAGCGAGCAACCACGACAAACAGTTAGGAATCAGCTTAAAATAATGCATCCGTTATTGCCCGTTATGGACCCATGCACTGGAACAGCTTTCATGTGCAAGTGACCCAACAAGAGAAGGAGACTGGAGGAAAAGGAGCTGGAATTCTGTTTGCAGCGCTCAGCATCCACAGTGGAGCCTCACTGCTCCACACCACCTCTTTGCCAGGCAGTTTACTTGCGTTTCCAGCTCTCCAGTCGGAAGCACCAGACTCGAATCAGCAACCCAGGGTACTCTCTGCTGCTCTACAGCACTTCTGGGTACCAAAGAATCTCTGAAGTACTTGGAACCGGATGAGTAAACTTTGCTCACACCTATTCTAAAGGCATGAAGAAAGAGATGCAGAGTTTCTGCTCCGCTTATTCAATGCCCGCAGCTTTATGTGACTCCTAG